TGTCGGAGTGCATAGTGTGCGATGGCGGAAAGCGTCGTGACTCAACCAGAGGGGACGCCGTACGTGTTTATAGGCAGGGGCGCACCTCCCTGATAGCGCATACAGTTTAGATTACATCTTGGAGAAGAAGCTAGATAGAGATAAGATTACAAAGGAGAGATAAACTCTAGCTAACTACCTAGCCGAACTACCAAGATATCTATCAGGAGAAGATACGGCAGCCCCTTGTCACGTATAGAGAATATGTTGTTTGACACCCTCCCTTAATCACAACTTCATCAAGTTAAGATTATACTTGAAGTTCTCAAAGCTTCGTATGGGCAAGGCTTTAGTAAACCCATCTGCAATCTGGTCTTGAGAATGTATAAACCGAATGTCTAGGAGTTTACTAGCAACTCTTTCTCTGACAAAATGGAAATCTATCTCAATATGTTTCGTTCTTGCATGAAAAACTGAATTTGCTGAGAGATAAGTTGCACCTAAATTGTCACACCACAGATATGGAGCTTGAGTGGTTTTCACACCAAGCTCCTTAAGAATGGATTGTACCCATATAATCTCTGCAGTAGCATTAGCTAGTGCCTTATACTCTGCTTCTGTGCTGGACCTTGAAACAGTAGCTTGTTTTCTGGCACACCAAGAGATCAAATTAGATCCAAGGAACACTGCAAAACCACCAGTGGAGCATCTATCATCCAAACATCCTGCCCAATCTGAGTCAGAGAATGCACTAACAAGGGTGGAGGATGACTTGCTAAAATTGAGGCCAATGCCCATAGTATCTTTCACATATCTTACTATTCGTTTTGCAGCAGTCAAATGAACTGTGGTTGGTGCATGAAGAAATTGAAACACCTTGTTGACAGCAAAAGAAATATCAGGTCGAGTGAGGGTTAAATATTGAAGTGCACCCACCAGACTTCTGTATCTTGTGCTATCTTCTGAGCTCAAGGGTGTTCCTTCTGTGAGAGACAATTATTCTGTACTAGACAAAGGAGTAGTAGTAGGTTTACAGCCTTGCAACCCAGCTTTTCTTACCAAATCATTTGCATATTTTTCCTGGGAGAGATGAAGCCCATCCTTGTGCTTCTTCACTTCAATCCCTAGGAAATAGTGCAAGTCCCCAAGATCCTTTAGAGCAAACTCAGCACTTAAGTCCTTCAACAGTCCTGTTATTGCCTCATGAGATGAACTTGTGACAATAATATCATCAACATATATAAGAACAAATATTGATGTATTGGACTTCTTGTAAATAAACAATGAAGTGTCAGACTTTGAAGGAACAAATCCAAGCATTTGCATCTTCTTGCTGAGACGGGAATACCATGCTCTAGGGGCCTGCTTCAGTCCATACAATGCTTTATCAAGCTTGCATACATAAGAGGGTGCATGTTTGTTTTCAAACCCAGGAGGTTGTTTCATGTAAACCTCCTCTTCCAGAACACCATGAAGGAACGCGTTCTGTACGTCTAACTGTCGAAGACTCCATCCCCTGGAAACAGCAATAGATAGGACAAGATGAATAGTTGCAGCTTTTACAACTGGACTAAATGTGTCCTCATAGTCTATGCCATATCTTTGTTTAAACCCCTTAGCAACTAGCCTTGCCTTGTAATGATCAACTGTTCCATCAGACTTTTGTTTGATCCTAAAAACCCATTTGCAATCAATGAGATTTTTACCTTGCCTTGGAGGAACTAAATGCCACGTTTTATTTTTGTGTAGTGCCACATATTCCTCATACATTGCGTTTCTCCACTTCTCATCACCAAGGGCTTCCTCAAGCGTGTTGGGCTCACCGGGTTCACCTGTGGAGCAGATCAAACCATATTTTGTTATGTGTTTGTAATTAACGGGCTTAGTTACCCCTGACTGCAACCGTGTACGGCGCTGTGATGCAACAGTGCTGTTTTGCGCCACAGAAGATCCAGCAGATGAGTCCACCCACGCCAGATCCGAAGCGGATCCGCCCGCGCTAGCATTTTTGGCAGTTTCCGTTCCTGGATGATCTTTTGTGCCTCGCGGCTGGGGCGTTGAAGAGGAATCCGGCGCAGAAGATCCCACACGACCAGCGACCACGGGCTAGCCGAGACATGCATCTGATCCCGCGCCTGCCGTAGCTGGGCCCGCGCCACCCGATCGCCCTGCATCGCGCCGCTTGTACACAGCCGGCTGGGTGCCAAACCGCGAGCCGATCGGGCCCGTGGAAGCCGCGCGCATGGCAGCCGCTGATTGGCGCGGGCTGGTGAAGCCGCCACCACCAACCACAGCAGGCCGCGTGGCCAATGCGGAGTCGGTCGCGGCTGGTGCGCCAGGATCCGAGGCAGATCCGCCTGCCGCTGCTGACACGGTGGATCCCGAGGCGGATTCACCTGCCGCAGCTGGCGCGCAGGATCCCGAGGCGGATTCGCTGCCGCAGCTGGCGCGCCGGATCCCGAGGCGGATCTGCTCCCTCCGCCGTGACACACGCGATATGGACAGTGTGTTGCACTGTTTTCTTCATTTTCTTCACTGTTTTCTTCATTTTCTTCACTATTTCCACCGCTATGATTTCCTGGGGCATCACAAGACTCATGCAAATGGTTAGGAGGATTAGTCAACAAATGATCATCACAGTTATCGTGTCCCCCTTGATCATAACCAGAGAGGTGAGGTGGAAGGAGTAGGATTTCTTTACGGAGTAAGGCACCGGCATTGGGGTGAAGATCAGCAAAGGGGAACTTTGTCTCATCAAAAACAACATCTCTAGAGATGTAGACACAACCAGAAGAGATGTCTAAGCATTTGACACCTTTGTGCTGAGCGCTATACCCAAGGAACGCACACTGTTTGGAGCGAAAATAAGCTTGCGGTTGTTGTAAGGGCGGAGATTTGGCCAGCACGCGCATCCAAACACACGAAGAGATTTATAGTCTGGTTTTACGTGGAGAAGTCGTTCTATGGGAGTGTCCTTGTTGATAACTCTGCTAGGAAGCATGTTGATGATGTGAACGACAGTGAGAAACGCTTCGTCCCAAAATTTTAGGGGCATCGAAGCTCCAGCTAAGAGTGCAAGGCCAACCTCAACTATGTGCCTATGTTTGCGTTCTGCAGACCCATTTTATTGGTGAGCGTGAGGACATGACACATGATGAGAAATGTCTAGTGTTTGGAAGGAGTTTAATTTTTCGTATTCTCCTCCCCAATCTGATTGGACATCAAGAATTTGCCTGTCAAACTGTCGTTCAACAAGGGCCTGAAAGTTTTGAAAGACTTGGAACACTTCTGACCTTTTTTTAAGGAGGTAGAGCCAAGAAAACTTGCTATAGTCATCAATAAAACTAACATAGTATGTTTGTCTACCAACGGAGCTTGGGGCAGGACCCCACACATCAGAAAAAATTAACTGCAATGGTTGAGTAGAAACACTGGTGGAAATAGGATAAGGGAGTTGATGACTTTTTGCTCTCTGACAAGCATCACAAATGGTTTCAACATTACGCTCACCAACAAACGGGAGCTTATTTTTTTTGAGTAAACGATCAACTAAGGAAAATGAAGCATGCCCTAAACGGTCGTGCCATCTTGTGGCTGAAAGCTTGATAGCACAACAAGCTTGTTTATTGTATCTTCGAAGCTCCGGAATCAACGGATAGAGTCCCCGAACACATCTACCTCGATAGAGAGTTTTCCTCATGACCTGATCCTTGATCAAAAAGAAGAAGGGGTGAAACTCAATATAAACGTGATTGTCAAGAGTGATTCGATGGACAGAGAGAAGGTTTTTGTCGGTGCTAGGGACATGCAAGATTTTCCTAAGGTGAAATTGTCTACGCGGGGTACGAAAAACTGAATGACCAATGTGACGTATCCTCATACCTGCACCGCTTGCGGTGTGGATTTGGTCTTTGCCATGATATTTTTCCTTGAGCGTTACTTTCTCTAGTTCGCCGGTGAGATGGTTTGTCGCGCCGCTGTCAAGATACCAGTTGGTATCGACACCGTACGAGCCATCAGCAGCAGCAGCGATCTTTTCTTCATCTTCTGACGAGGCCTCATCCTCATCGAACCGGTACCAGCAGTCCTTCGCTGTGTGGCCCGGTTTGCCGCATATCTGGCAGTGAACCGCGTCCGGGCGCGATCTGGAGGACCCGCCGCGGCGACCCCTGGTGTTGGTGGAGTTGGCCCGTCCGCGGGAGTTGAACCCGCCGTTGCTGCTGCCGCCTCCTTGCTTGCCCTTGGAGCGAGGCGGGCCACGATGACGGGAGTAGCCACCGCGCCCACGCATCGCTGCGTTAGCTGACGACTTGAAGCCGTCTGATCCCTGGTACTGTGCCACCCTCTGATCAAAATTACTTAGCATGGAAAAGAGCTCATCGAGGGATACCGGGGAGGTGCAGGCGTCGAGGGCGGAGACGAGTGGCTGGTAGTCCATGTCGAGGCCGTGGAGGATGTAGGAGACGAGTTCATCGTCCTGGAGCGGCTTCCCGGCGGCGGCCAGTTCATCTTCGAAGCCGCGCATCTCGGCGAAGTAGGTGGCGACGGTCTTGTTGCCCTTTTGCGCGTTCACCAGAGAGGTTCTGATGTTGTTCACGCGACTGAGCGACTGCGAGGAGAACATCCCCGACAGTGCCATCCAGAGCTCGCGCGCCGTGGTGATCGCGGTCACCTGCACGAGCACCTCCTTGGTGAGGTTGTTCAGCAGGTACCCGAGCACCTTCTGGTCCTCTCGCGCCCAGACGGCGTAGAGAGGGTTCGGCGCAGTAGATTTCTTCCCATCTTTTTGTCCTTGGTGGAGAGGATCCTGGCCGGCTCCGGTGTAGTGCCGTCGACGTAGCCGAAGACACCCGCGCCCCTTAGCTGCGGCGTGATCTGCGCGCGCCAGAGGACGTAGTTGGTGCGGGAAAGCATCTCCGTGACTTGGCCGTTGAGGCTAGCCTGGAAGGCACCGGAGGACGACATGATTTGCACTGGATGGAGTTTTAGGGTTTAGACGTTGTGGAAGAGAAGGGCTCTGATTACCATGTGCGAGTAATCATGCCAGTTTTGACATATCCGCCCATAGTTTTTATCTGATCGAGTCTACTGATTATATATTGTGTATCCGGTCTCTTTGCCGGGTTGAAGTCGATGCACTCTATTGCTATCTCAGCACATATGCGTACCTGTTCCATCTGTACGTCGCTATGTGATTTTTCCACCATGTCACTCCAACTTTCAACTACCTATGAATATAATTTGTGAGTTATGAAAAAGAAACGCCATCTTTTAAAATATGAAATAAAAGTATGCAGTACTAGTACATACTAGCACCATACATTTTTTTTTTGAAACGGAGGCAAAAGATTTGCCTCATCCATTAAATAAGAAGAAGAGAGTTGCCGAGTTAATTAGTGGAAAACCGGGCAAAAACCATAACAAACCGCTGAGCGGCACACAGAAGATACCCACAAACACCACTAGCCCCATACATGATGTCAACAGCTTACACAAAACCATATCAACTAGGACTTCAAAACTACAAACTAACAATAAAAAATTCTCAAGAAAATTAGGCTGTGCCCCTAGCTTCTTCTCACATATCGGAAGAAACCAACTATCTATTTAATTAAAAATAAATATGCATCCAAAGTTCCAGCTGGAGACAACATGGACACGGGTGATGGGATTGCACAACCAATCTCCCACACAAAGAAGCTGGCCTTTCTTTTTGTTCTCACATACAGGGCCACTTAAGTTTGCCTTATCATTTTTTCTCATGAGAAAACACAAAAGTTGCCCTAAGATGCATTGATAGAAAGAATAGATTCCCATCATTATAAGTGAGGGCCGCCCCCGCTACACCCCGCCCCCGCGCGTCGCCTCTGGCGCACGGGGAAACCCTAACCGCGCCGCTAGCCGCCCCTCCCCACTCCTCCCCCGCTTCGCCGCCGCCGGAGGGGACACCGGCGAAGCCCGCGTGGTCCCCAGGGAAGGTGGCGGCGGGGCGTCCTCGCCGTTTCGCCAAGGTCGACCCGCAGTTCAAACGGCGACCGATGCCGCGCGGCGGTGTTCCGCCGGTGGCTGGCACCTGCTGCCCATGGGGCGGCGTCCCTCACGGCGGCAGGGGCTGCCCCTGAACGGCGCCTGGTGGTGGCCAATTGGCGGCGCGTGGGTGGGCCGGATCTGGGCTGCGGGTCTGTGTCCCCGTCATGGTAGCGCTTGTCGTTGCCCTCAGCCATGGGGCGTGGTCCCGGCGGGCCTAGCGCCGGTTGTGCTGGCCAGGACCACGTTGGCAGGGCCCTACTTCATCTCATGTCGTCTCGCTGGCCAGTGGTGGTGGTCATCTTCTTCGTTAGAGATGGCCGGCCAGAGGCTTGGTGATCGGATCTCGAGATCCATCATCTAGTCCCGGCTACGAGTAGGGGAGACATGGTTGCCGGTGAAAACCGAGCCGACGGCAGGCGATGGCGGCGTTCTACGCCGTTACCTTGATGGAGGCATCGTCGTGTAACTACTATCGACCCACTCGTGCTGCTCCGGGGGAAACCCTAGGATCTGGTGTTCCAGATCGGACGATGGTAGCACTGTGGTGTCGTTCCTTTCTTAGGAGCATCGTTTGTGGAGCAGCGCTGGAAGCCAGAGGCAGGAGGTGGAGCGGCTTCGTCTTGCACTGAGCTTCGGTGGAGATGTCAAGTCATGCCTGACCGACAGGTGCCACGCTTTGTCATGCCTAGTAGGCAGGTGCTACGCATGACAGATTTTTCAAAGACTTCAAGTTGTGTCGACTGGTGGTACTTGGCAGCATGTTGCTAAGGTGTATCAGTGGCGACCACGACATGCTCAGTTGTTTCCGCGCAGAGAGGAGGTGTCGTTCGGCGCCGTGGTGGCGTCGACGATAGCTAGACCGAGCAAAGTTGATGCATCAGTACAGTTTTGAAGATGGAGCGGTGGCAGTTGGTGGCGGCCCTCTGAGAGCACGCCGCACCAGTGTGTTCCCCAGACTCGACAGGTGGCTAGGTTGGGGTCTCAGGTCTTAGATGTTAGGCTTGGCTTCGAGGTCTGTTGTATTAGGCCCGGACTATTAGCATCCCTTCATCAACTGGATAGGAGTAGCGACAGATGTTGCCTAGACGGTGACTTCAGACTTTCTGTTGTATTTCTTTGTAAGGACTTTTGTGAATAATTAGTAAAGTGGCTGCATGCATGGTCCAGAT